TACATTGCCAATGGATGGTTAAACGAGCTATTACTGTGTATATTGCATAGTATATACGAGGATAATCACTGTGCCTGTCCTGGTAAAAAGTAAAACGAGCATCAAATAACACGAATGTGAGTTTTTCTTTGTATGTACAACATTCGTTCCTCTTGCTTTAACGATGAGAAGATTGGGAAGCGCGAGATCGTCGGCCACTGCTGGAACTGTTAGCCAGTATACGTTGACCGTTGCCAACCATTAAGTTCAACTCCTCCACGAGAAGGAGAAGGGTGAGTGATGGCAGAAGCTGCCCATCCAGGACAAGAAATTTCTTTACCGTGTCTTGTTCTGGTAGACGTTTGCCGAAACCTGTACTTATGACCCACCCGGCAAGTGGAAAATGTACCTCTACATTATCAATGCTACAACCTAGAAATCAAGAAGGGTTTGACCTAAAATTCCCACTGGAGATAGTAGAAGCAGCAATAGACCTTCAGTTTTTTTCTAATGTTAGCCTTAACTTTTTGGTTCTGAATTCATCTAATTTTGCTAAACATATTTTGGTGAGAGAGTTAATCGACTGCGTCCATGGTTTTGAACTTTTTAACACCCTAATAAATAAACAGGAGATCCAGGAAATCACTGAGATTGTTCATTAACAACTCAAAAACAAATAGTGCTGCTCTTCTTCATTCTCACGGCTCTCAACTATTTACTTTCAATCCGTTTATCCTCATCATCCATCAAATAATTTCCAGCAGCATGCACATGCGTATCTATAGGATCTAGATACCGGTTGCCAACGTTTGATTGCTACCTTCTCTTTGTATTTGCTTGTTGTTCGTTCATAACTTTCATCCTTACTTGGTTTTGCCGGAATTGCAAACTTATCCCCTGCTGGCGGTTCCGATCGCGTTTATAAAAACCGTGATTCAGATTGGCTCCGTCGAGGGCTCCGTTACCTCCGGTGTGATTACCTTCACAATTCTGTTAGCAGCATTAAGAAGGACTCACTCGTTTTCTCAGAACGGCCGTCCCGGTCGCGTTCTTATCCCGTGGCAGTGCATCCACGAGGAGACATTTTTTTTCAAATCCGTCCTCACTCGTTTTATCAGAACGGCCGGGACGGTCGCGTTCTCTCCTGTGGCTTTGCCACGACGAGGAGACGATTTTTGCAAATCCGTCCTCGCATTCAGAACGGTCGTCCCGGTCGCGTTCTTATCCTATTTTCCTTGTAAGTGGGTGATTTGCCCATTTATTACCTAACGGGGGTCTTCAAGATTTCAGGTTCGTCTCCTGGCAGAATCGCCAGAAATGTGAAAATCCGCCGATATTAATTATGGGTTAATCACCCACGACGCAGCTAATCAATGTCCAACTTACCCGTGCAGCAGCTTGAATCCAAATGACATTTCACCAACTGTCAGGAAATGTGTATGAAAAGTCATGACCTACCTAGTTATTATCCATCTCATAAATGCTCTCCTCACCGATAACAGACACGAAGCGACTGCTGCCAGCCGTTATGGAAGCTCGGTTGCGTTCGGGTGTAAAGCAAAAATCATGAAACTCAATCTGTGAGTTTCTTTAGCTTATATATTCAATATAAGCTAAAGAAACACACAATATATTCCGAGTAGGATAGGGCGATCTTCAGAGAAAGATCGATCTTATATTTAGCTCTAGAATCGATCCACTGGTTAAATCGGTACCAAAATATCGATCTTTGGTAGATTGATCTTATGGTTTTTATTTTAATTGACCTTTCTGACATTTATAACTTGCACACTTGCATAATCCCATTTTCAAGTGCTTAGTTTGCTATCCTTACTAGGCTATCCTCCTCTAGCCAAAAATGTTGGTTTGTTATTGTTATCCTCACTTTCGGACCATCTTGCATATAGAATGGACTAAAGAGGCTGAATTTATAAAAAGACAACATGTCAAAATTGTCAAATTTATAGAAAAAGTTATTCCAATAGTGCAGAAGGCATGTAAAATGAATAAGATGTCGCCTCTTTACCCAATCAAGTCTCTTTAGAATGGCCTAAACGCTTGTTTACGTTGATACCCCAAGAATTTATTTCCTTTATAATATTCAAATAAATGTTGTCCTGACGGTGAGGAGCAATGAGCTCAAGAGGAAGGTAGCGAAAACCTTCAAATGTTGCTGTATTCGTAAATATCGGAAACGTAACTAGTTACGTCATTGAGGCTACACACTTAGAAATACCCAATTTTACACGTGGTGGAATCCATCTTTGACATAAAGGATGAGACGTAATCAAACATGTCATGTAAAATTAAGTGCTCCCAGACTGAAAAGTACGATTGATTGAGCTGAATTTCACGTCTATTATGACTCAATTTTATGTCAAAATTGACGCTCGTATATGTCAGTCTCAAAGCACTTAAATTTATATGAATTTTTCTAAGTGTGTATGTTCGTTAAATTTACCACTTAGTATGGGGTGATAGTAAGTCGTTTTTTCGATGTCAATACAATTACAAAATTTAAAAACAAGAAGAGATCGATTTTTTCGATCTTTTCGTGGACAAAGAATCGATCCAAAAAATCGGAAACCAGGATGAAAAAGATCTTCCAAAGATCGATCAAAGATCACCCAATCATAATTCTGAGCGGCGATATCGCAGCTTGCAGTACACTGAGGCAAATAGACTTAAGAATTTCATAAGACTCGAGTTATAAATGATAAATATGAGTTTCAAAGGCGCGACTTATGAAAGATTTTCGTTTATCATAACGTAGCTCTTATACGCCTATAGCCATTTTATTTGCTTAAGAGTTGAAAGACGAGTGGTCAACACACGAGATCCGTAATCTCTCGACGTCAATGGTTCGGTTCCAGTCGGTTCCGATTTATGCTTTCATCTCTTCTTTTTTGACTGTTTAATATTTCGATACAGTTTCATCTGTTTTGTGTAGTAATGCAGTTTGTTTGTTCAATTTAATTTCATGTGCTACATGTATATATATTAAGGCAAGAGAAAAAATTCCTTTTTAGGATGAGATTGTTTTCCTTAAGATTTGTTTATATCAGCCGCTATAATCAAATCTTGAGGAAAACAATTTTGTGGTTTGTGGTTGATAAACTTCCCGTAGTTGATGCGAGCTACACGTTTCACGCGCCATCGATTGCACAACCCTTAAGTTGCCGTGTTGTGCTGAGAATGTAATACAATGTACATCACCAGGATCTCATTCGTCTTGGACGAAATGGGACACAGTTTGCACTTGAACGGGTTATTGTTGTCATGTTCCACGTAGATGTGCGCCTTCAGATTGTTCAGATGTACAAAGTTCTTCGTACAGCTGTTGCACTTATAAACCTTGGGCCCCGGTTAGCAATTTTTAGTTTGTTAACATTTTATTTCAAGTTAATTCTCACACAGAAGGTGTATGAGAAGTGCTTAATGCAAATTCATATTAACAGATTCTTTCGGTGCTTTCGTGGTAGTTCAGAAATCGGTGGTTACCCTTTCAGCCAACCTGACGATGGAATTCCTCCTTTAAATTTACGCCCAACTAGTGACGCAAGGTCTTTAGCAGCTTCCAAGATCTTTTTGGTCGTCTTGGGACTGCCAGAAGTAGCGCACATACAAACTCAATCCCCTAACTGGTTCTCCAAATCAACACTCAACACTATTTCCCTTCCATATTTCTTGCCGTGGCTTCCCTTAATTTTTGCGTGAAGTGTCGTTTTCGGAATATTGTACCTTTTCGGTGCCTGGTACGCGGTAAGTGATTTATTTCTTACTAAAAGAACAGCCTCTTGAAGATTTTCGACCGTATAACTCTTTTCTTTAGCCATTTTTTCAATCAAAGAAACTGATCACTCGGCCAAAACGAAATCGAATTTCAAATCAGCTGCGCGTGAAGGATGTAGACAAACCGAAGCGCACCTAGCGGCCGTCTTACGAAATACATAGGTCCAACCATCATCATGCGTAGGTCCAACCATGATCATATTTATCTATTCGAATTTCGTAATTATTCAAACATTTCAGTGCAACCAATAGATAAATGGCGTATTAACGTGTTGTTTACACCTTAAAGCAGTATTTTACTGCATGAAAATAAAAATAAATGTAAAAAGTATTCCTTTTTTGTATGATTGAAAGTAAGGCATAATGACGAGCTAATGCGTGGAAAATGAACTGTTTTGAAAACACATTGAAACTCAATTGTTTTGAAGTTTTTTTCAACAAAACACCTATGCAAATTGAAGAAAATGAGTTTTTCATGATAGTAAAGTGAACTTTGAAAAAAAAATTAGCGAAGATTGACTAAACTAGCGCTTGGAAAAATAGGTCCAACCATCATCAGTTTTTGGATAGGTCCAACCAGAATCAATTACCCTAACTGGACGGCAAACACATTCATTGATACGTTTGTTGTTCTGGATGATAGAAGAGCGTAGCAATGAAGCGTAGCAATGAAGCGTAGCAATGAAAACCTGCATCGAAACGCTTTTGGTTCTTGGGTTACAATTCTACTTTTCAACATTTTTGAAGGACCACCAACAAACATGAAAATACACTATTTTTCAGGGATGCCTAAAATTATTCGATTAACGATTAATGGTTAATATTTATCGAATTTTCAATTATTCGAGCGCGTAACCCACATCCCTTCTTATTTCTACTCGTTTGATTTGGGGCAGTAGAGAAAATATATAAAAGAACTAATTTATTTGAACAGGCATAGAGAAGAACCATGACGTGAAACAGGATCATAAACTCGCCGAAAAAAGTGATAAGCGTCTTTCTGCTAAAGGCTAAGATTTACCAACTTGTTCAGAGAAGGAGTTTAACGAGAAAAACTAAAAAGGGGAGGAGCTTTAGCTGGGTGGACACTGATATTCTGCGGCCTTCCAACCCAACCTGGTCTATACAAAGTGTGGAATTGTAGGCCTGAATGTATTGGTGCACTCGGCTTTCATTCCGCTTCGCACGATTCGTTTCTTTCGTTCACTCAATCACCCTTGTAGTGACGTAATAACGTTGGTTTTGATCGGCGCCCACATAGGAAATTTAATATGGATCATAGGATGTATGTATGTTACCAAAATTTACGACGCCACGTAATGTTGAGATAATTGATTGATTATCGAATTATCACACTGTATACCATGAAAAAGCAGCCTGTTAGTGAGTTTTTGCCTGTCAAGTAAAGAGTTATGATAAAAAACAAATCGCCAGCTGATATTTCCCGGCGACTTTACAAAATAATATAATCAAGCAAAATCATCATGCAAAAATATCTAGGATTTGTTTTACTTCTTATTTCGCAAATTTGCTTTGGAGTGTTATGACCATCGTCTCCCGCAAAGTTTACATTTTCCCCTCTACCAACACATACGTCAGGGCTGGATCTCCACACCTTGTATAGATCAGGTTGCTTCCAACCTGTCGCAGACAGCAGTTCAACCCCTGGTCAGCAGCAGACGAGCCGAGACTCTTGGGAGTGCCCAATCATTGAACCGAAGAATATGGGATTGTCCGGTCCGATTTGCTGATCCAGCTGCCTACACGTCATCATCATCTTCCAAAGGCTTTAAGCTTGTGCTACCATAGGCCCTTTTCAGGACCACCAAGATTTTCGAAAAGAGTTAAATTTCTGACAATTTCCCAACTAAAATTCATATCAAAAGGTTCTTTTCAGGACAATCATACCCATCAAACATCGAAAGTTGAATAAGAGCTTGTTCAGGCAAAAATGTGCGTGTTCAACTAAAAAATTGCTTATTCGGCTTTTAAACAGCTCAAATTGTTTGTTGGGTAGTCATACTAAAGAGTATCAACATAGAGAACCCCGCTCAAATTCCTATTCCTACACAAAACACAAGCTCCTGCTGCAGTTAACAAATAACATTTATTATATAAGACCACGTAGTCCTAAGTCACCATTGCGTATAACCCCATAGTCCCTTGTAGTTTTTAATCAATTTAAAGGCATTTCGGTGTTTGCGATGTAATTTTGGCCTTACAACATCTGTATTCCATACTGGTGGGTCGCAGTCAACAAAGTTTTGAGAACCGCTGCCAGCGGTGCCGGTGTTGTAGTGGTAAGCGTGATTGCCTCTCACCCCAGCAGGCCAGGATTCAATCCCAGTCGGCGCCGTCGGGATGTTCTGAGGCATAACATCTCTGATCACATAACAGGGAAGTAAAGCCATTAGTCCCCGGTTCATGAGTTGATGAGTCGATAGGTAGGGTCCAGGTGTGGGAGCTGCCTTCCTGGCGTCGGTAGCATTGGTGCTCAGCACGGAAAACAAGATCGACGGAAATCAAATCAAGGAGAACCGCTGCCATAATGCGTTAAATTACAACAGGGATGCTGCTTCTGAGTTGACGTGTCCTTCCCTGGAAGTAGTCCAAAGTTTCATTAGAATCTGTTATGGTGTACCAACCCCATTTTTCACGAACAGTTAATATTTAATTTGACTTCTGTTGACGACAAATACAGTTTTGATATTTATTTACATCGGTTCGAGGAAGGGATAGTTTAAAGCTTTTAGGCTCCAAGCTTATACTTTCGTCGATGGGAAACATTTTGAATCAAAATTCCATTTTCACGGAAAACCAACAACAAACAGTATTTACCGACCGAAAAGCTGATAACTGTATAGACCTTATCCATTTCAACTGTGTTTTTCAATTTTCCATACTTCCATTCCTCGAATCCGACCAACAACAGGAAAGAGAGGCTCGACCATTTTCCCCACAGAGTCCATGTTTACACCATTGAAAAAGTTGTTCCCATTCTCGACGCTCTATCGTTCAAAAGTATGTTCCATTTTCCGAGAAGCCAAACCATCCACATCCAATCCAATACGAACGTACACATTTGCCGGGGGCCACTCTGGGAAGTGGAGAAAAATTTAATAAGTGGTTTGTTTTCCTTTCACATTTAACGGTCTGTTCTTTTCCCTTTTCGCAGCTCAGGTAGGATGACTGAGCTACAGAACACAAGCACATTTTTTGACTTTCCTTCAAATTTTGTCGAGTGGGTGCGAACGAGAGAAAGTATCACCACGAGGTGCGGATCAACTTGGTTCAAGTGAACCACCAGCTTGAAAGTTGATTACTTGGTGTGGCTGTGGCCGAGATTTTACGCCCGCACTCTCGCGCTCTTTCTCCGAGGAGCATTTAAAAGTGAATTTAAGGGTGAATTAAGCTTTACAGCAGCAGTAATAGTGGCAGATTTTCGGATGGGTACCGTCGTCGGTCCAGCAAGTTTCTTGCTTTTAATAAAAGTAGTGGTTCTCCGAGGAAATGGCAATCTGTAGCAAAGTGCAATTTCAAAATGTGCATCCAAGGGGTGATTTAATAATGAGATCGGCGATGAACAGTTTATGACGCCATAAGGGTGAGCAGAGTAAGGTCAGTCGTAAAAAAGTCTTCTTATTAAATCGATCGTAAAATGGATAAATGCCGTGACAATGCACTGAAACAGGTTGCACGTGATTGTCCAATGACATGGAAGATTGCTTTTAATTTAAAAGTAGCCAACAAAGTTGTTCAACTGTATTGAGTAGCTATTAGATCAACAGTGAAATTGATTCGGTTCCTTCCTACTTCTTCGTTCTTCTTTGAACGGCCGCCAATTTCCGTTCTATCGAAACAGTCAATGTTTACTTTACTTCCACCCGCAACGGAAAAAAGAAAAACATCCGATCGATTCGTGGTCCCGAGATGTATGTCATCCAACAACCCTTTTTGAACATATGTAGCTACACACCGGCTACAAGGAAAAGTTGAAAAGTTTCGTCTTTTTCTCTGACCCTCTCTTTGTCACATATTTGCCATATATATTTGAACTCATACAACACAACCCCATAGGCGAGTGGTTGGTTGCTGGTCACTCGGAGCAGCAGCAGCGGCGGTCAGTGGTTTGCTTCGAAACGGTTTTTTGGGGATAAAATAAATTGTTGCAAACCACTTCCGACATAAATGCAGCACTTAAAGCAAACCATTGTACACTACATTCTCTCACTCCTGCTTGTCTTGCAGCGAGTGTGCTGGCGAGTGAACACAGTGGAGTGGTCGGTTAGTTGGTTGGACATGTTAAAATGCTGCTTCCGGTCCCAGGGCATCAGGGGGTGGACTTTATGGTCGAGGCCAGCAGCCAACGACGGTGCCTTTAGATGGACCGTGGTTGGTGAAATAGTTCAGCGGAGAAAAGTGTGGCAGAGGTATAGTCTTGAAAGTTTTGCAGCTGAACTGACCCCACTATTGGTAGTGTATTTTATAGAAATGAAACGTGTGTAGAATTTACAAGCAAAGTTGTTCCTGGGAAAGCATAATAGAACATAAATAACACGCTGCTGCTGTTGTTGGGGAGGGTTACATGGGAAACTTTACAGGAAAATCAATGAACAGCACGTTTTATACATAACAGAGGTGATTGATGAAATGTGTAACTGGCAATTTAAAGATTTTCTAAAGCATGCAGCTATCTGCAAAGATTATTCAGATTATTGGGATCGTGACATAAACATGGACCCAGATGGTCATCGGATCGTCCTCCGGAAGATCCGAAAAATCCTTAAAAGTGGTCAATGTATGGAACTATTCCTAGAGCTCCACGGTTTTTTTTTCGAAAACACTTGGAACTGTCATGTATAAATTAATTTGCGGTCGTGACATAAACATGTACCTAGAAGGCCATGGGACCGTCCTCCGCAAGATCTAGAACATCGAAACTGATCCTAGAGTTCTACGGTTTTTTCGAAAGCATGTGGAACTGCGATATAAGAAATAATTTGGGGTCAAAACACAAACATGGACCCAAATGGCCATGGGGCCATCCTCTGGTAAGTCCAGAACATCAGTAAACGAGGTCAATCAATGAAACTGATCCTAGAGCTCCGCAGTTTTTTTTCCAAAAACATTTCGAACTGTGATATAAGAATGAATTTGTGGTCGTGACTTAAGGGGGTAGTCCACTCTGGCGGCATGAAAAATAGGTCATTTTCACGATTTTTTTTTTTCATGGTAAATAACGATCAATTCAAAAAAGGAAATGCATGGTTTTGTCAATTGAAATGTCCTCTTTAATTAAGATTTTTTTTTTTGGTGCGATTGGATGTCTCCTGTAGCCGCTGCACCAGGTTCCCCAGGAGACCTCCCGTCTGAGTCGTCACGGGGCGGGACATCTGGCGGTCACACCACTGGAGCTGGAACAACGAATTTTTTTGTGGTTATTCTCTGATAGATGACCCAGTCTTGTACGTAGCCGTTTTTGATTTGGTTGAAAAATAAAAATTTGGCGACGTTTTGAAAAAAAACAGTCCGTTTTTGTACCCTCAAATTGGAGATAAAAGCTTGCACCAAAAATCAATTTTTGATTTTTTTGAAAATCGGCTACGTACAAGACTAGAAAAAAAGGTACTTATCTCGAAAATTTAATCGCCGTTTATATCGAATGAGCCGTTTCTAAAATACAACGCCCGTCAATTTTGAAAACATCGTTTAGAGATAATCGCGTTTAAAGTTGGAACTAACGGGCGGGTACTCTGAGCACTCATCTGAGCGCGCTTAGAGCGTCTGGACACGAGTCCACTAATCGGCCTATAACTTTGGAACGATGTCACTTGCGGACTTGCGGTCAAGTCTATGTCAAAGTAGTCATTCCAGACAAGCCAAAAAAAAAATATTTTTGAAATTTACAGAGTGAACTACCGCCTTAAACATGTACCTAGATAGCCATGGGACCGTCGTCCGGAAGATCAACAACATCCGTAAAATGGTCACTCCATAAAATTGAGAGGCGGAAGCATTACTATGACGAGCACCTCAATGGTGAAGCAGCAGAAAACGAAGGTGGCACGGCAACAGACCTTGGAGCACGCGCAGAAGATGACAGGCTACCGGCCCCTGATCTTCAAGAAGTTGACGAGGAGATCGGTCGACTGAAGAACAACAAAGCAACTGGTGTAGATCAACGACCAAGTGAGCTATTAAAATACGGTGATTAAGCACTGGCTAGAGCGCTGCA